TTTAGTTCCCTGTGGCCTGTGGGCCAGCGGTTGTTGTTGTCAGCGGTCGTCTGTCTCAGTGGCCGCGATGTTTGTCAATTAGCTCAGATTTATTGTTTAGGTCAATATCGTAGTTAATCTTACTACAATTTTTTCAACAATATTCTCAAGAGGACATGGATAGAGTATTACGGCCAGAGCGACTAGAAACTGATCCAAACAGTGGAACAGCGGCGAAGGAATGGCTTCACTGGAAACGTACGCTTGATAATTTCTTGGCCGTTTTACCACAAGAAGGTTTAGATAAACTTGCAGTCTTATCCAATTTTGTCTCCCCAAGTATCTTTCAACACATAGAAGATTGTGAAGATTATAAAACATCGATTGAAGCAGTTCAGACTCTCTTTATCAAACCGAAAAACGAAGTCTTTGCTCGTTATCTTTTAGCTACTTTCAAGCAAAGATTGCAACTTCAAGAACGTCACAGCTGTACAATACTGTGAAGAGAGTAAAAGAGATGCATTTATTGCTGGATTACAGTCCAATATCATACGCCAAAGACTTTTGGAAAACAAAACCCTTGACTTAAAAACCATGTTTGATCAGGCTAGATCTCTTTAGTCAGCCATGAAGAGTTCTGAGTCATATTCAACTCCAAACAGACTCATCAATGCTGCTATTCCTGCTGATTCTTTAAGCCCTCTAGATAGCCAGGAGCATACTCTGGTTGCTGCTGTAGAAACAACTTCTTCCAGCTGCTATTTCAGTGGCAACATCAGGCACCAGAGATCTATGTGTCCTGCAAAGGATGCTACATGTGCTAAGTGTCAAAAAAGGGACACTATGCCAAAGTTTGTCAAAGTAAAGCTACCTCAAGGGTATCAGCATCTCTACACTGACCTGTTATAGCCGCTACTCAAAGTCCTGGGTCTCTTTCAAAGTCAATCAGCCTAGGAAACTTGAATGTAAAGGCACTATTTGACAGTGGCAGCACTGAGAGTTTTATCCACCCAAATCTAGTTAAAAGGGCTGGGCTGACTGTGTAGTAGTGCTGTTTCCATGGCTTCTACGGCCTTATCAGCCAATGTTACAGGAACTTGTAGCGCTAACCTTGAATACCAGAACCAGAAATACTCCAACCTTTGCTTTTCAGTCCTTCCTGGGCTCTGTGCTGATCTCATACTTGGACTGGACTTCAAGTCACAGCATGAGAGCATTAAATTTTAGTATGGGGGCAGCCAACCCCCACTGTCAGTTTGCGGTTACAGTACCCTCAACATGGATCCACCTGAGCCTTTTGCAAATCTAACTTTGAACTGTCACCCAATTGCAAGCAAATCTCGTCCTTACAGCAGGGATGATTTAAAGTTCATCGAAGGAGAGGTTGAAAGGCTACTCAAAGAAGGGATCATAGAACCAAGCAACTCCCCTTGGAGAGCACAAGTTGTCGTGACCAAGGATGATAACCACAAAAAGAGACTTGCTATCTGTTACCAAGGTTAAATAACTTGGTAAATGACATTGCTCAGTACCGAGGGTTCAGCACAATTGATCTAAGAAGCGCTTACCATCAGGTTTCTCTCAAAGAGGAAGATAAGCAATATACAGCCTTCGAAGCATGTAACAAACTTTATCAGTTCACACAACTCCCGTTCGGTGTCACAAATGGGGTTCCTTGCTTTCAGCGTGAGATGATGAAGTTTATTGAACAAAACAACCTCAGTGCTGTATTCCCTTACTTGGATAACATCACTATCTGTGGAAAAAATCAACAAGAACATGATGCAAACCTTGAAAAGTTTCTTGCTGCAGCAGAGGAAAAGAACATCTGTTACAACAACTCAAAAAGCGTCTTTCCAACCAGGAAACTTGCTATTCTTGGATATGTAATTGAAGAAGGCATTATTCGTTCAGATCCAGAGAGACTAAGCCCTCTGTGTAACCTACCTGTGCCTCATGATTCTAAATACCTCAACAGGTGCCTTGGTTTGGTCTCCTACTACTCCCAATGGATCCGAGAGTTCTCCAACCGTATCAAGCCACTTACAAGCTCCAAGTCATTCCCTCTGCCACCTATAGCTGTTACTGCATTTGACAACTTAAAGAAAACTGTAGAAGAAGCATTTGTTACCGCCATTGATGAAACTGTACCGTTTGAAGTTGAAACCAATGCATCTGACGTGGCACTAGCAGCCACACTCAGTCAAGATGACAGGCCTGTCGCTTTCTTCTCTTGTTCACTACAAGGGAGTGAGCTTAAGCAAAAGGAAGCACAAGCTATCATTGAAGCAATCAGGCATTGGAGACATTTCCTGACAGGAAGACACTTCACACAGAGAACTGACCAAAAGTCTGTATCTTACATGTTTGATCAGCACAACCGTGGTAGAATAAAAAACTACAAAATCATGTGTTAGCGGCTTGAACTAGCATGTTATAGCTATGATATCGTATACCGGCCAGGAAAGGAGAATGTACTTCCTGACGCACTCTCCAGAGCAACTTGTGCCGCTGCACTTCAAGATTCCCTGTATACCCTCCATGAGGCATTGTGCCTCCCTGGAGTTACCAGGCTTAACCACTTTGTTCGTATCAAGAAATTACCTTATCCAATGGAGGAGGTAAAGCGTGTCACAAACCAGTGTCAAATCTGTGCAGAATCACAAGCCCAGTATCACAAGCCAGAGGAAGTCCCTGTTATTAAAGCATCTCAACCATTTGAAAGACTAAATATCAACTTCAAAGGTCCATTGCCAGGCAATAATGAAAACAGGTATTTCTTGAATGTAGTGGATGAATATTAAAGAATCCCTTTTGTGCTCCCATGCTCAGATATAACAACTTCTACAGTAATCAAGCGCTTCACTACTCTATTCTCCTTGTTTGGCATGCCAGCATATGTACACTCAGACCGTGGTACATCCTTCATATGTCATGAGCTTAAAGCATTTCTAAGAGAAAAAAGGATAGCCAAAAGTCAAACAACAAGCTACAACCCGGCTGGAAATGGCCAGGTTGAGAGATATAATGGTATCGTTTGGAAGGCTATCGAAACATCCTTGAAATCTAAGAAGTTACATACCAAGTATTGGCAGGTTGTTCTACCTGATGCTCTCCATTCCATACGGTCATTGCCCTGTACTGACACAAATGAGACACCCCATGAGCATTTTTTCAGGTTTGCTAGACGATCTTCTTCTGGTGCATCAATACCTACCTGGATGGCAGAACCGGTGCTGTGCTCCTCAAGCGTCATGTCCGCACAAATAAAACTGAACCATTCTTTGACGAGGTGGAGCTTCTCCAGGCAAACCCCCACTATGCCTTTGGACGTTATCCTCATGGTAGAGAGACAACTGTGTAGACAAAGCATCTTGCATCCAAACCCGATTCTTTTCCTTTTAACATTACCTGCATTGCCACTGACAGCCTAATTGCTGGCCCTAGGTCGGCTTTTTGACCTCATTCAGTCTAGCTGTACTGATCAGCCCTGACATGGGGCGAAACCGGTCTACAGCTGACTGTTTGAGGTGTCAGTGGCTTTCTTTACTTCACAATTTAGTTATTAGTCTAAAGGTAGTTGTTTTTTATTGTAAATATCGTAATGTTTTTCCTGTCAACTATTCTTTTGCTGTTAAATTTGAATATCAAAATAAAGGACAAAACATTGATGGTGTTCCTTGAAATAAATCGTTAATGCTTTAAATTTTAAGAATGCATTCACAAAGTCAAAAAGAAAGATCATCGAAATATGGTCTTTAAATAATGTTAGGTTTTTTATTATTGGATGTCACCCCGAAGACGTCGAAAAATGTTGATTTATAGACGCCAACACGACTTTCTTATTGGACCAAATCAGGGGCGGCATGGCTTTAAAATAATAATTTGGAGGAATTCATGAAAAAGGGGCCCATTTCATGGTGCAAGAATTTTTTGGGATAAAGCCAGCTTTGGAGAATGACAAGGCATAGAAATATGACATTTCTTTCCAACAAAACGTTAACTATACATTTGAATTACAAAACATTTAGTCAAGTCTGCACTTTCAAGGTAATGCTGTCATTTTAGAAACTAATCACATTTTGGAGAAATCAAAAATTACAAGTAAATTTTTAAATACCCTTTCACAATATTTCATTGGTTATATTTATAAGTATACTATAGTCAAGGTAGGTTAATTGGAAAAAATTTGAGTCATTTGTGAAAATTGAAGTTTTGACTCAAATGACCTTGTGAACTGTAGCTCAAAGAGAAGCATAAGAAAGGTACCTCGGGTGAACGATGGGTTTGCAAACCCAAAATAAAATAACTTTCATGATTTATATGGATGTAGAAATAATCTATCGAAGTATTAATATTTTAAATTTATTCGAAAAAGTAGCTAAATTCATGATGAAATGAAAAGTTTCTTACATTCGTCTGCATGATTGACTTTAGAATTGAGCAGCTAAAAGTAAGTGCCTATTTAATTTCCCTCCTAACATAACGCAGTACCAGCCAGCACATATTCTTTGTACTTTTCATTAGCCTCAAATTTTCATGTATCTTGGATTAAAGGCTACGTAGATCTCCTCGAATAGTAACTGAACAAGATGAACCGAAATATCCAGTGCATGCGTGACTTCCATTCAAGGAATAAAAAAAAGATGTTTGTGAGGTCACACGCACTGGCTCACATGAAATGCCCACAATGGTCGAACACTTGATGCTAATTTCATGACATTTAGATGGGAATTGCGTCAAAACGGACAATAAGAATTAACCGAAAACTTGAAATTAAGATTCCGTGCATCGTTTTCGGCATTATATCAAAAAACAGTTTTGCGTGTCAATTAACCTTTAAGCTAAAAGTCTTTATGCTTGATCATCCTAGTTTACGAAATCTAAAAAATTTAATCAAACAGCTGAATAATTATTTACGAGACAATTTATAAGGTTTTGTTGGTAAAAAGCTATAAAAGTTTAGGCCCTCATACAAAATTAAAATTGACCTTTGTCTGTCGGAAATTTTGAGCCCTTCACCTCCCCCCCCCCCCCCCCCAAAATATCTGCCTATTTATGTCCCTGTCTTCAAGAGCTTAATTTACATCAGCACAAAATGCTTTTGCCTTCTCATGGACTTCTTCAAAGTTTCTGGATATTGTCATATCCTATTATTCTAAGTAATATTCTATTATTATATACTATTATAGTTTCCTATTATTATACACTAGACCCAGTTCCACACACACGGGACCTTTGTAGTTTGTGAGTAATTAAAAGATGGCCTACATACACTTGAATTACTAGTTGTTACTACAGGTCATAACATTGGCAACGAGTAAGGAAAACGACCTAAAAAGACAAAAAAAGTATTTAACTCGACATCCAGAATGTGGGATTTGATGTAAATTGTGAAAATACTATCAATATTCAAGAAATTCTACTTGTTATTGAACACCACGTGCTTCGGAAGATATTCCATCAACAATGACCGACGAAGAAGCAGCTGAACGGGAAACGGCAATTCACATTGTCACCCAGACGAGAAATTTGAAAACAGCTCCGTTCATTATTCCAGAAGACGCCAACATTATCCGACGTTAGTGGGAAGGTTGGCTCAACGGCATCGAAAGAGAATTCCGTTACTTTAAAATAGCTGACCCAATTGATAATAAAGACGCTTTAATTGTTTACGGGGGAAAGGACATTGGAAGTTTTGAGAAGAGTTTACCAGACACAGCGGACGGAAATGTTTATGAAAAGCTGAAAATTAAACTGAACAACTACTTTGTGCCAAAACAAAACAAACGCCACGCTCAATATCAGTTTCTTAAAGAGAGACCAAACCACAGCGAATCAATCACAGCTTACACGGGACGACTGAGAGAGAAAGCCAAGAAATGTGAATTTGGGAATACAAATGACTGAAGAATCCTAGAATATATCATACATACTATCGATGACAAAGCAGTGATTCAAAAGACCATTAATAAGAAATGGAATTTAACGGAATTTTTACAAGAAATTAGCCAACTTGAAGATGTCAACCGACAAGCCCAAGAAATGAAGACACCAGAGAAGCCAAAATAGGTGCAAAACCAACCACTAGCAGAACAAGAGGCAATAAAATCAAGTATCAAAAACAGAATCGACCGCCAGAAAACACAACTCAACAAAAATGCAACAAGTGTGGATATTGCCATAAATCAAGAGACCGCTGCCCAGCATATGGAAAGCAATGTAATAAGTGTAAGAAATGGAATCATTTTGCATCAGTATGCCAATCATCCAATGGCAGCACACATCAACAGCAGAAATCATTGTACTCCAGAAGATCCAACACAGGAAAAGTCAAGAAAACTAAAGAAAAAGAATCAACCAGCTCTGATGATGAATACTTCCAGAAAGCTGTCAAGTGAGATTTGCAGACTAAAAAGATAAGCAACTAAACCTAATGGATGAGCACCAGTTCAAGGCACTCACTAACCGAAGCAAGAGGAAATTGACACTGTCACCAAGTAAACCAAACTAAACACATTACAACACAAGCTAGATGTGAAAGGTGAATTCACCACCATTCTTAGTAATCCGACATGTGGAAAAAGTGTAAGATTTGTCGTTGTCTACGGACACATCAATTCACCACCCCTGATAAGTAAAGCTACACTACTAGAGCTTGGTATGATAAAGATTCAAGCATATGGAGGACTTGCACAACCTAACAACATGAAAATATGGCAAGAAAACAGACATGTCAAGGTAGCAAAACAAAACACAGAAATGCAGAAGATGTTAAACATAGTTGAACAATATAATCACGTGTTTGAAGGTATTGGAAAAATCCACGATAAAAGAAATAATCAGAAGATGTATGGAAAATTCAACATGAGACCCAAAGCTGCACCGATAGCACAGAAGCCAAGACAAGTACCATACTACTTGCAAGAACCTTTCAAACAATGGCTAGACCAGGGTGTACAAGAAGACCTGTTTGAGAAAGTCCCCGAGAATGAACCCATCACATGGTGTTCACCTGTTGTTGTACAACTTAAACCAAGCTTCATAAACACTGAAAAAGAACACCTGCTACCACAAATGATACATGCCAGTGTAGTTTTACGAGTACCTAACAGTTACATGGAGCGTAGCAGAATAACACAACCACCAATAGTAGAAGACTTTGTACACAAGTTCCATGATTGCACCATATGGTCAAAGCTAGACTTACGTCAAGGATATCACCAGCTTGTACTTGATCCCGAATCCAGATCCATAGCAACCTTCAGCACACTGTGGGGTAATTATGGACCCAAAAGACTGGTATTCGGAGCGAAAGCATTGCAAGACCTTTTTGATGATGCTATGCTGAAAATATTTGATGACATCCCACGCTGCTTAAACCAAAGGGATGATATACTCATTAGAGCAAAAGACTAGAAAAAACACAACCAGACACTACAACAAGTTCTTCAGAGAGCTGACCATTTTGGTGTATCTCTAAACCGTGAAAAGTGCCAGTTTGGAAGAAGTGAGATTGAATTTTATAGATATAAATTCTGTTAACAAGGCCTGCAACCTACAGAAGAGAAAGTTAAAGCTTTGAAGGAATGCACAAGACCAGAATCGAAGACAGAGGTAAGAAGTTTCCTCGACATGACCGGATACTTATCCAAGTTTTTCCCTCGATATGAATCCTTGACAAAGCCACTAAGAGACTTGACATTGAAAGAAACACAATTTAACTGGAATGAAGAGGAGGACGAGGCTTTTCAGGAGCTTAAAGACAGCATATCCAGCCAGGATGTGATTGCGTTCTTCAATCCAAAGCTACCAATTATGGTCAGAACAGTTACAATGAAGGACTATCAGCAGGACTATTCCAGAAGACCGAGAAGGGATGGCAACCAGTTCTCTTTATAAGTAGAACTCTCACAGAGACTTAGAAGAAATACAGCCAGACAGAAAAAGATGCACTTTGCGTAAAGTGGGGCAAAGAAAGATTCAGCATCTACCTACTTGGAGCACCACGTTTCACTATCATCACAGCACAAAAAACCACTGTTAACACTTTTTAACAAAGCAACAGCTAACCTACCACCCCGCATAGAGAAATGGGTAATGGCCATGCAAGACATTGATTTGAGATGAAGTCCCAGCCCGGAAAAGATGAACAAGAACAATAGGCTTTTTTGCCACATCATCCTTTACCAATCACAGATGATAAAGACACAGAACATACAGTGAAAGCTATCATCAATGATAGACCAGCAGTACTCCTAAGCAAGATAAAAGAAGAAACCAGAAAAGATGAAACACACTTAAAGCTCAGAACCATCATCACAAAAGGCGACTGGGAAAACCACAGACGAGATGCAGACACTGCACCATTTTACTCAATCAAGAATGAGAAACACATAGCAGAAGACCTCATCTTCAGAATTGGTCAAGATCGTGCTACCAAAGCTACAATGAAAGGTGATTGACATCGCACACAATTCAGGACATCCCGGCGCAACTGGTTGTCTCCCTGAATTGGCTGTCTCCCTGAATTGAAATTAGGTATAAAGTTAACCGACCAAACACCTGTCCAAAAGAACTTTGTAATCGTCTCGAGACCCCTGTATCCAAAGGTAAAAGCATACAGCTAAAATGATTGAGGTTGCTTAGGTTTATGGAGGGTTGCTTAGGAGACTTAAGAGATGAAATGTTCCATATCTTGATAATGTTATTGTCTTTAGCCGTACCTTTGATCAACATATTGAAAATCTTACAAAAGTTCTTCTTCGAATGAGAGAGTATAGAGTGAAAGTAAAGCCAAGAAAACGTAAAGTTTTTCGAAAAGAGGTCAAGTTTTTCAGTAGAGCTCTTTTGTGAGAAGGATATAAATTAGACATGGATAGTATAAAACCAATACTAAATTTGCAAAATTTTGCTCCAAGAAGAGTTGAAGATGTACAAAAATTTGTTGGATTTTTTGGATACTACAGACATTATATAAAAGATTTCTCTCATATTGCTATTTACGATCTTCTAGCCATAAAACTTACTTTAAAGATGACACGAATTGGAAAATCAACAAATAAAGCAAAATCATCATCGAAACAGCTACCGCCAAATCATGTTATTTAGTGGACAGAATAACACCAATCAATTTTAGACCAATTGATAAAGCAACTAACATCCCCTTTCAATAGTGGCTTACCCATCTCTCAATGATCCATTTATACTATATACAGATGCATCAGATGTGGGTTTAGGAGCTGTGCTTTATCAAAAACAGAATGGTGTGTTAAATTTGAATCTCTGTACATATACGCAACACATGTGCTTCGCCAGTCTTCACTTCTCGCAACACTCACAACAACAACAACATAACATTAACTTTAATTGTTTTCTTTGTGGATAAAATAAAGTCAAAATGTCACAATTTTAAACTCAATAAATCCTTAAAATAGTTTTCTTCCCTGTTGAATGCACTTCAGTAAATCCAGACATGATGCACCCAGCTTTGTGAGTGGATTAGCCAACATCTGTTCCCTTGGAATCCATTGAGCACTATTTATGATTTTTCTTTCTAACAATTCTTTAACTAACCCAACATCTATACGCAAACGTTTGTCTTCAACTGATTTTGTGGAAAAGACAGCTGGTCAACAAAAGCATCAATAGGAATGTCATCAAATGAGGTAAGCTCTGAAATAACTTGTTGTTGATAAATTGCATGATTTAATGCATCAGCTAAACTGTGCATTTCTTCAGCAAGAGTAGATTTGACTACTCGTTTGATCGTTGCACATGACCATGCTAAAGCAGCAGCTGTATTGTTCATTCCAAGTAGCAGAATGATGTGCCCTCCCATACTAGATACACCATCACACATATTGGCAAGAGATGCATCAGAAAAGACAAGAATATGACAATTCTTACAAGGTCCAAGATGTGGAATTCTGATGATTGAATTGTGCTGCCTAACTCTTAATAAACTTTTGTTGGCCCTCAAAAGATCTGACACTTGGCTGCTGTTGAATTTTGAACTCATGTCAACAACATCAAATGCAAGATCAGGCCTTGCTCCTTGTGCAACCCAGTTGCACTGTCGAACATTTCTACGGAACTGCTTCTGTTCCTCAGATGTTAAGGGGCTTTTCTTTTCCTTGGCTCTTCCTAGATCAATTTTAATACTTTGAATATTTTCAACATATGCCCCTTGACTGATAGTAATACCTTTCTAGGTTTTCTTGATGTCAAAACCAATGTATGTAATATTGTCCTTTGCACGTCGCCCAACTGTAAATCTCTCGCAAGTGGTTTCAAAATTTTCTCTTCAAAATCTTCATTACCACAATGCAAAAAAACCCAATGTGCATAATCAGAGCACCAGTAACTTGTGTATTTGATGTCATGTAAAACAGTGATGAATCAATTTTTGATTGTTTTATCCCAAAATTGATTAACTCCTCTATTTTACTGTCATTGAATCGTCTTGCAGCATCCGCTAACCCATAAAGGGTCTTTTTAGGTTTCCACAATGCCCCAGTACTCTGCGCAGCTTCTGGAGAAGGTTTTATGAACACATCTCTATGAATTTTTTTTCTTGAAGAAAGGCAGATGTCACTAGATTTTACTGTCCAACCCTTTCTAGTAACAGTTGCCAGAAATATTCGCATGGTTGTTTTTGCAACTGTTGGAGAATTACTTTTAATATATTGGGTCTCTTCAAAACCTCTTGCAACTAAACAGGCTTTCATCCCATCATCTTTACAAGTTATGACCCACTTAGTGGATATGCAAGGCTGGCCAACATCCTCAACTTCATCGTAAACATCAAAATCTTTTAATTTCCTTAGCTCAACATGTTTCGCTTGCAAAACATCACTACAAGTAGAGTTGGTATCAGAGACAGTCACTAAGTCAATTTCTTCATTTACTTTTTTTCAATCACTCAGTTGTTAAAAGTTAAGACCTTTCTTTTCACCTGTTTTTTTGACCTCTACATTGAACCAGTATAGACCCGTTTCCACGTGACGTAGCACGCTAATGTAAACAATGTACTCGCGCATCCATTGCGGCAAAAAATGTGGAAGCACGATGTAAACACACCTGGAGGCACAGGCAACTAGTAAATGTGAAATAATATAAATGCGGATAAAGTTGTTATAGCTGTTAGATTAAATGCAAAATGGCATCTTTGGACGTTTCTTCATACTCAGAGAGGTTGTCTTCAGAAGATCAGGCAGAATACTTTTCAAAGTTGACTCTCGAAACTGGCGAGAGGCTTCCAGATCCGTTCGTGTTGAAGGAAGGATGGACTGGCGACATGTCGTATTTACCATCTCAGTCCTGGAGTTACCGAATATTTGATAGACAGTCAAAGCATCTACACCAAGGAATCTATGAAGGAGTATAAGTCACTTGAAGCCTATGATTATTTTCTGTGTAGACATGTACAAGACTGCATATACCACAACATTACGGAAGAATCTGACTTCTGCTACATCAAAACTGAGGTATGTAACTCAAGGAATTTCGTTTCAGTGTCAACTCGTTTAACATTAGACATAGGTGCGTGCATCTAAATCTGTATTTGTGTCACTTGGGTTTCATTTTTATAACTTTCTTCTGATACATCTTTTTAAAGATTTTCTTCATTTTTTAGAGGAGCGCGGGTAGCGTTTTATTGTGATATATCATTTTATTTTCAACTGAAGTTAGTAATTCTAAAAAAAAACTTGAAACGTTTACCCTCAAACAATTCCAGAGACAAGACAAGATTAAACTTTATTTGAAAAGAATGAAAGTTAAGGTCAGGATGTCCTAGAAATAATTTACAAGTTGACTACAATGAATTATTTTGCATTCAGCTGAGTATATATAAAATTCTTACATAATTTCTAATCTTTCGACAGGTGCTGCCAAGTCAACGACAAGGGGAAAAAACAAATCTTTACAAGGTATGGGTGTGCCTGCATAAGACAAATGGCTGGATTTTAAAAGGAAACTATACATGCATGGCAGGTCTGGGATCTTCATGCAGCCATTTAACTGCATTACTTTTCAAGTTAGAGGCTGCTGTCCATTACCAACTTAATGAGAAGACAGCATCAACCAGTCAACTTTGTTCATGGAAAGCTTCAAGAAGACAGATAAAAGCTGTGCCAGCATCTGCTATCGACTTTTCGCGGCCAAAGAAAAGATCGCTCCCAAAGCCCTCTAAGATGGTTTTTTTGAATCGAAATTATAGCTGTTTTGATCCAACAAGTGGAGATGATGGTATTACGAAAGAGGAGTTGAAAGAACTTAAGCAGATTTACCCTATGGCAGCTGTTTTTACAAGCCTACCTGACACTGAGTATGAAAGTTCCTTTGAAGTGGTTTCAACTTCGATAGCAGAACCAGCAAAATATGACAGTGAAACAGATACAGACACAGAAAACGATTCTAACTGTATCCCTGAGCCAATTGTAAGTCTTTTTGATCCAACTGCCATTAATATGTCTCATGACGAACTTGCTGAACATGGAAGAAAGCTTTATAGTGCCTACTGCTCAAGTAACTACCAAAGCTCTTTTGATAACCTTTGCAGAGCAACTGAAAGGCAGTCACAGAATAAGGCCTGGATGGTACATAGAGCAGGAAGAATAACAGCCTCTGTCTGTTACCAAGTTGCAAAGATGAAAAACAACCCATCCCTGATAAAATCAATAATGCAGTACAAGACATTTGATTCCAAATACACAAAGTATGGGAGAGATATGGAGCCACTTGCTAAGGAAAATTGTGTATCTGAGGAGTCAGTGAAGCATTCAGACTTTCATCTTAAGCAATGTGGATTGATTGTTGATGCTACTGCTCCATTTTTAGGTGCACCCCCTGATGGATTAGTGTCATGTTCTTGTCATGGTAATGGAATTTTGGAAATAATTCATACAAATACAAATACAAAGATTGTTTTGATGCCTGGGAAGAAGACAATGATTTTCCATTGGATGATAAACTAAATATTAAAATTGGTCATAAGTACTATTACCAAATGCAGCTTCAGATGGAATTGGCTAAAACCAGTTATGGTTACCTTTATGTTTTCTGTAGCAAGACAAAGGAGGGGCTGAAGAGTATGGTAAAAAAGGATGAAATTTTTGTAAAGAGTTTAAAACAAGTGCTATTTTCAAACTTTTGCCAGTTCTTTCTGCCTGAAATTTTGACAAGGAAAATGGACAGTATGGGAAGTGATAGAAGAATGTACTGTACTTGTAAGAGGCCAGAATTTGGAAACATGATCAGCTGCGGAAACATTTTCTGTGATATAAAAAGATTCCACTATCCTTGTGTAAATATTACACGGAAACCAAAGAAGGACTGGTTTTGTAGTGACTGTCATAAAAAACCTAAGCACCTTGTTTCTCTGCGCATTTTGTCTTTAGTTATTCAATTTTGATATTGAAATTTTGTCCAGGTTATCATATTCAAAAAGACTAATTTCCAATTCTTGTGTTTCTAGATAATATTTCAAATTATCTTTAATTGTAGTCTGGTTTGACCACTTGCTATCTGTTTCTTAAATTGAAATATTGCATTTATGAAATAGAGTGTTTGAAGTCAGTCTTGAGATAACTACACTTTTGAGCCTTAAATGTTTCCTTGTTTTTTGCTATGCATTGTACTTTTCTAACTGAAATATAAAGATGAAAGAAATATTTTTCAGAGCTCCAGCTAGTAGTACTCAAAATATGATGTATTTTATAATGCTTTTTTTAAATCTTTTTAATCTTTGTGTTGTAATTTGGTTTCTGTTTCTAAATATTATTAAACTTAAAACAGACTGATATGTCTCAATGACTTTTGATCTTTTGGCAACTTGAGCTTCATGTTTACAAACACAGAAGAATCAGTGGCGTAGCTAGCGGTCATGCTTGTCATGCCGGGCATGACCATCTATTTCCAGAGATAACATTTTTCAAAAAATTATATTTTCGTAAGAATAAAGTCCTATTCTCCTGATGAAATAGCTCAGGCCATTCGCCTCTGGAGCCCTATGGTTCCACGCAAGAATATGGAGCCCTCCGAAGGCGCTCTTCTATTGTTGGGCATGACTAAAACAGAGGGTTTCCAATTTAGTCATGCCCAAAACTATGAGCATGACCAAACCCTGTGTTTTAGTCATGCCCATAACGCTGGTTCCCTATGTTTGGTCATGCCTAACAATAGGAGTGACGCAGGAGAGAACAAAGGCTAGTCATGCCATTTCGACAGGGCATGACCATCATTATAATCATCAGAACCGTCCTGTGTTATTTCGTGAACGCAAATGCGAGGCATCGATGGCGTGCCTAGATCCACGAGCTGGGAGGTAATTCTCTGTAAGTAAAATGCAAGCAAAAGATTATTGCCAAGCAGCCACGACTCATGTTAATCTCCAGAACATTTTATGGCAATGGCAGGGTTTTTCAGCCTTAATGGTGTTGCACTATGTGGAGAAGTGACAGGCACAAAAGGCCATTTTTGGACATAAAATCAGCGAGCAGGATCATTATATGCAACCAAACCAAACTCTCAGCCTTTTCAGTAATCAATTGTTACTAGCTGAACATTTGCAGAGAATGTTCTTGATTTAATGAATGCCAAATCTTGGTGCTGTTCACTGGAGATGGATGGAGGAGATAGCAGTGTTATTTTCCAAACCAACAGATTTGAGAGCTTAAACTTTCCAGACATCTAGCAGCATATTCAGAAACTGTTAAGCCCTTTAAAAGCATTGTTACCATATTATGATTAGGACAATAAGATTGTAGTTAATGGGTAGGGAATGCCAAAACTTGCTTAAAGTTATTCTTCAATTTTTTGTTTATTATCACATGCAATAACACTGTTTTTACACACAATTAAAGTCAATCTCAAAGCTCTACTGACTTCACTTGTAGTTGAAAGTACCTTTTTACTACTTATAGCTGTTGAAGTAAAATGACCAGAGACAAGTCAAGCATGTTACTGATCTTGTTAGTTAAACAGTTTTATTTCATTATTACAACTTTTGCTGTATTTGAAAATTTACAAGATCAAATTATTTCATTTATAAGCCTTGTTTGCTAGATTTAGTAAGAACAATCCAATCATGTGGATATTTGCCACAAGTATATGTGGAAACATCAATGTTTTTGTTAAGCTAAACTTATTTTGCAAGGTATTTTTCTATTAAGTCTAACTTTGCAGAAAACATTTTGCAACTAGGCCTATCCATTATTTTAGCTTCCAATATTTCATATCAATATTTACATTGCATATTCATTTGCCAATTTGTTTTATTCATCTATCAGTTCTATTGAGGTTGTTAATTAATCGTGATGGCTTTAATAAGACTATTTGTGGAAAAGATGACCAAAAAGCTCCCATTCAGTTTCATGTGATTTATTGTTTCATACACAAATTTTAGCTTGTCTCTAAAATTTACAAATGTATTTCAGCCTGCAAATTGAAAGAAATTAGGAGAACAACACAATTTTTTATTTAAGCTAAGTTTAACTACTATACTAAACTAATGTTTTTTAATGTCTTTGGTACAGTTCTGTTTGGAAATTGTCAGAACTCTGTCTGTATAAATTACCGACAAACCAAAACAGTGTCACAGCTATAAGATAAAGGTCATTTCATGGTGTAACAAGATGATTGCTATGAAATAAGAAAAGCTCATTCCAAAAGTTAATCAAAATTTTTTTTATAAGTCACAAGCCTTAAAATAAAAATTTCCAAAAGGAACTCATCAACTAAAAAATTGGGCGTGGTAAAATTTGGCCACACCCATATTTTGTTCAAATTTGAGGGGAGGGCATGACCACTGCTATTTGGCTAGCTACGCCACTGAGAAGAATAGAACAGAGTGAAAAACAATAGTGAGAAGCAATGTTTGTTACATGTCTTGCATTTCTAAAATGATTCAAAAATTTATTTGGGTACTACACTTTTATTTAAGTTTACTACTGCAGAAACAACAATCATGATGTCATCCAAAAGGTCCACTTGGGAGATGGGGATGGTTTTCTGTAGGATCTGGAACTTTTTTAATTGCCCAATTATTCGCTCCACATGAATTCTTGCATTGGAAAGATGTCGAGAATGATGAACATCACTAGCTGGCAGTTGTTTTTTCCCTTTTGTGAACTTTGGAATTTTGAGGTATGCACCTTTACGGCCTAGTTCATCCTCAATCAAAAATCCTCGATCAGCCAAAATGCAATCTCCATGAGTGATTTTGCTGAGAAAACCAGACTCAACTGTAATTTCCTTGTCCGATACTCTTCCGCCCCAGGCCTCAGACAGAAACATAACTGCACCTGCAGGACTAATTCCAATGAGATATTTAAGTGTATTATTTTGCTTGTAATTTGACCATGTCTGTGCCCTGGCTGTCAAATTTTTTGGTCTCTCAATAAATATCTCACTGCAATCAATGATGCAGATGCAGTCCCTATATTTCTGTTTGAAGCATGTTGGTAAATTAAGACCAATTTCAGGTCTGTTTGGCCAAATTATTAACTTCCTTAGTTTTACCGACAACTTAGGAAGCCAAGAGCGCATGATTTTAGACACAGTGGCCACTGGACAATCAAATCTATGGCTTATGTCTCTATTCAGCAAACCAAGACGCAACTTCATGAAGACAATTAGAACATGATCTTCATCTGAAAAAGTAGAGTAACATCCCTCTAACAAGGTTTACTACCCATAAAAAACAGACTGTTGCAATGCCAGTGAAGAACCTGACCAGGTCATTTGAACATTGGATTGCTTTAGAACCAAATGCTTTTTCTTTAAGGGTCTTGTTTTCTTCCCTTAGCCTATAAACTTCAGCATTTCGCTCTCTTAATTCTTGGTCAAGTTTTTTGATTTTCTCTTTCAGAAACACTTCTTGTGTGCCAAAGTCACATTGAATAGCAGCATCAGTTTGTCCTGAAACAGAACTGGTACTGCATTGACTATCATTACCATCAGTAGGCTCATCATTTTGCTTCAAAGTTATTCTCCATCTGGAAAGTGCCTTCTCCCTTTTTTCCTGTAGCAGCTTATATTTGACCTTTTTCTTCAGCTGATTTTCTGTCCTGATATGATCTCTTTGGGAAGAATGCGCAAAGACTGTTGGTGCCCAATTTGGGTCTTCTGGATTATCAGATCGCTTGCCTAGGTTACAAAAGAGAAAAATATTCTAACTTTACCAATAGTGTTCCAAAATTGAAACAATAATGACTGAAAATATTTATGAACAGGCTAAAACAAGTTAAAGACTGGGAAAATTCAATTTTTATTCAAAAACAAATTGCAATCTTGTTATAAGCTTTTTTCAAATGGAAAATAAAATGTATTGCTCTAAGCCAAATTCTATGACATCTTCTATTAACAGCCAAAAGAGTGAAAATGTTCAGTGTTTCTGAACATTGCCTTAAAGTGCTACTGACATGAAAAATCAAATATTTTCAAAAGGGTTTTTCTTAGGCATTAAACATCACTGATTCTTTATCTGCAAATATTTTTCAAAATAAGGGCCATAAGTTTGTTTTTGGGGGGCTTGAGTCGTAGGAGGTTTTCGAAAAGAGTCTGGGGAGAGTGACGCATTCTGGTGTGTTATTATATAGTTTACGGTCAGGTAACCCCAAAGGAGCCTATAAAATGTCCAGCAACCTAAGGTGGGAAAGGAATTTCCAGATTCAAACGTTTCATCTAACGATGAGGAAGTTGTATCGGAAGTGAGAGAACAAATTTTCAAGACGATGAGAAAGATCCATTACCACCTTCCTCTGAAGATGGGTGAACATTTGGTGGCGAAGCCGACACTTGGCTAATTATTCGGATTTCAATTCGGATAAAGATAATAAAAAGTTTTTTCAAGGGAGAAAACTGGATCGATTTCTATTGATTTATTTATTCTTTTCTTAACAAGACGCACTTTACATCCCAAGGTAAGCAGACATTTTTTGAGGCGGCCTAAGTGTTCCGGTAAATTGACATTCAACATGAAACATCACAACCTGATGTGAACTGATCTTTAACACTAGAGCCAAAGCAAGCTAACTAAATCGACTCAAAACAACATAAAGAACAACCTTCTTTCGAGTGTATACTAATTTAAATCGTAAAATTCCAATAATTGAATTCCCTGTACAACAACAAGCTCCAGGGAAACTCCTGGCTGAAGACACCAGCACATAGAAAACCCCTAAGTACACTTTTAAAAATGTTCCGAACCGATTGAAACTTTGAGAGTTACCAAAATTAATGTGCATAAAATACATCTAGTTCCCCTTGTTTTTTTCTGGTTTGATGAGAATATCTGAAACGCCCCCCGTTCGAGCTCCATACTTAAGCCTTATAACAGCTATCTCGTATGTCTGTTTTGTTTCCCCATATTTACTTCCGTAAAACAATTCCAAATCGATTGAAACTTCGTAGAGTAGCTAGAACTAATGTACTAAAAATGAATTTTGGGTCTTGCTGGCTTTTTCCAAAACTTGGTTGAATCGTTCAAAGGATTGTTATAATTCTTGTACGTAACATGTGTTTTGGGTCATAGGTCGGACGAAGACAATGGATTGAAACCGGTCCTGTGTCTTCTCATTAATTTTACCCAATATTGACGCCATTTTTTTCAGCTTTCGGAAACTTCAGCGACTGATTTTCGGGAATGTGACTGTTACCTAAACAGCCAGTATAGTTTAGTGCACCAGCACAACAATATTTGCCGTATTTAGGTTGTTTTTTGCTATGCCCGATGTCTGCCATCCTTCAAAAGTACGCAATAAACTGACCTTGCCGGTGCACGAACACACCAGAATATGTCACAAATTCCTGAATTTCCTCTTTGGCCGCGTTTTTTTTATTCGAAGAAAATCTGCAAAACCAGTACTTTGGAGCTTGAAAAAATTATGTTAAGGAAAAGATATGCAGAAAAAAGTTACACCATTCGATTCAGCACTGCCGGCTCTATACTAAAATGGAATAAATGGATTTTATGCAGTTTTTTCATTTTTCATGTCAGTTCCACTTTAATTATCTGAATTAAATTTTCGTTTTCGAGAATCGATCATCGGCTGAAACTAGCCACTAGAAGAGAAATTCCTTAGTTGCTTGATGACAGTAGTAATTGAGCAGCTTCATGAGCATTACCAGCTTTAGTCCTATAGGCTGGCGTTGTAAAAATGACTTCCTTCATAACTATCGAGAAAGCCTAAGGAAAGAATAAATTTTCAAATGCTTAAAAAGACAATTAGTCACATTGAAAACTCCAAAGGGTTTTACCGGTAACGAAGTGTTCAGCACAGATAAAGGCTTTCGAGATTTTGTCCGCCGACCAAGTTTCCCAGTCATCTCTCCTTATTGCCTTTATCCAGTCATCTCTCCGTCGTCTCTCTAATGGCGTAGAGCCTTTCGGCATCTTATAAAATGTGAGATATTTTTTATCGCCTATCTGGAGATTCGTACATCCAACAGCACAGCAGCTTCTCGGCATTTTGTTTTTCTTCCCAAATACGTAACGAATGTTGTTATGAACACGCAGAATTTAGTTGGCAACGTAGTGTAAACAAAGTTGTTTTGCCGCAACACATGCGCGCGCAGCAGTTGCCTCACTCCCATTTGTAAACAATTTGCAACAGGTCTATTTAGTTGATGTACTTACTTTGCCTGCTCTCCCTAAAACTGTCCCTGTAATCAATGGATCATTTTCATTTATCTTGTAATCGTTCTGGTCATCTTTTCTTAATGAGATCTTTTGTTGGTATGCCAATTGTGGTTGCTCTTCCATATCATGTGCATAGTGCTGCGTATCAGGGTCTTGTTCCTGACCAACCCTTAATGCACCCTGGTTTTTACATAGCTGTGGCTTTGAGATTGTAGCACAAGAACTACTATCCCTTCGCAAGGGAACTGACATATTTTGATTTGTGTCCCTTTGATCAACAACCACATCATCACTTTTCAAGTCTACATCCTAGATTAGTCTGTTTGTTGACACACGAACATATACACCAGCGTTGACACAAAAACAACTTTTCTGTCTTCATGAAGAACTTTTCCTGGACCAAGCCATTTATGGCTTCCATCATGCTTGTAGAACACCCTGTCACCAGGATTATATACATCATCAGTGGCTCTGATGGGATGTCTAAGTGCTCTCCGTATGCGTTCATCAGCTTCACATTGAATGAGCGCCTTTCTTGCTAAAAATAGGTCATCCAAATGCGTTTTCAGAATTTCACCTGAAGTGGTGCCTTGTTTCTCTGACATAATGTTTGGCAAATTTGGTTTTTTTCCAAGGACAAGCTGATAACTGCCAAAACCATTCCACATCTGTCTGCAATGAATTTTTTGCTACATTTGCCCATGCCAGGAGAGTATTTTCATCTGTCTTGGGATTCTCTTCTGTTAAGATTTCCAGCATCCGATCAGTAATTTGGTGATTTCTTTCACAGAGACCATTGCTCCATGGGCTTTGAGCAGGAGTGGAGGAAAGCTGGCTATTGAGAATACTAGCCTACTCACGCATTTCAGAATTACTGAATTATCCACCATCATAAAAAAAAATTCCTTACATGACACTCCATCCTGCTCCAATCCAATGTTGGATGATTGTCTCAACAACAACAGGTGGGGATTTGCTGGTAATAAAAACTGACACACTCAGTCTTGTGAACTTATCTATCATGTGAAGGATATACTTTCTTTTCCAGCTCCTCAGATCAATTGCTATTTTTTCTACTTGAATCTACTTGCCATTGGCATACTGACCACTGGTCTTGCTGGTGTCTTTTTATACATCTTGCATGTCTGACAGGCAGCGGCCGCTCTTGCTAATGGGTATCTGGGGCAATGCCCCCTCAAAAAGATTCAAAGGAAATCTATGATATTCATATTTAATTTTGAAAATAGAAACGCGGCCTTTGATTGGCTTATTTGGAGGAATTCGGGGCAAGAAATTTTTGCCCATAAAATGACATCATCACTAAACAACAACCACATCCATATATGCCTTTTCTTCTGCGCTCAATGACGATCGAACTATGAATACAGTGAAAAATTTGCAAACTCAACCTTTCTATCGATTATCGCTTTGGGTCCAGATAGGCCCAATCTTTTGATATTAAACACTACAAGATCGGCAACCAGTCGTTGTTTTACAACAACATGGTACTTGAAATACAGTTGGCTAACTGGATGCAGCGATTCAGGGAAAGGTTACTGCTTTCCTTGCTTACTCTTTGGCGAAGCACTACGTGAAAAAGCTTGGACAGACACCGGGGTGAATAATTGGAAGCATTTGTCTGAAAAGGTGAAACGCCATGTTAAATGTAATAGCCATGTTGATAATTGTCTCAACTTTGCATTTTTTGGTCATTCCAACATTGCTGAACAGTTGAGCCACGCATATTGTGCTTCAGTTCAAGAAAACAACCTCAAAGTTGACAAAAATCGCCATGTTCTTTTAAAGATTATTGACTGTGTAAAGTTTTGTGGTGCTTTTGAGCTGCCATTAAGAAGCCAGGACGAAAAAGATGATTCTGACAACCCCCATGTTTTTTGTGGATTGGTGAACTTTGCCGCTGCACCTGCCGCCGCTGGAAAAATTGTATAAAGGTTTTGGTCTTTACCTCAAAGTGATGATGAGACGATATCAGCAAACGTGCTGAGTTGCTTAGACCATCACGGCAAGAAATGCCTCAGTTTCATTTAGTTTTTACTTGCCAAAATTTCAACCTGTATAACAAGTTTCCCAATTTTTGCACTCGGGCTGTTTCCATTCAATTATTTAGAAGTGTTAGGCCTAGGTGAAACATAGAGCCTGTCATGTGCCGAACCTATTAGCAACAAGTTCGACTGTGGCGCAACGTTGGCACAGCACTGAATCAGCATGGAACCAAATCGGTCGAGCTATTTAATTTTTCCAAGAGTTACATGAAGTACTAAAAATTGGCGCGGTTTTACAACTTGGTTTTCTTGCATGGAAATTGCGCCTCAAAGCAACAATTTAACAAAATCATTCATAATCAAGAAGATTTTACAACGAAATGAAAGACAGAGGAAACTGTTTGAGTGTTTGCAATAGCGCTGTCAAGACGAAGACAATTGATTCAAGCGTGCTTGCTTATAGTCACCCTGCTAACCTCACAGAATAAAAAAGAATGCACCCGTTCATGTAGAAGGTTATCAAGAAACAGTGGTTGGTGGAGTCGGGTTTGGCACATTTATTCTGTTCAAAAGAACATTTGGCGTATCTCGCAAGACCTTTAACTTCATTTTGTCTCGAATTCGCCACAAACTGGAGCGTGAAGTAGTTTCTGAAGACCCAATCTCACCTGAGTTGCGCTTGGGATTATGCTTGTATCGCTTAGGCGGTGGTGATTATTTTTGAACTATCGCAGAATTGGCTGGGCTTAGCCAATCGACAGTCTCTACCATTGTTAAAGAAGTAAATGAAGCAATAGTTTCGTGCATGTGGGACGAATGCATTACTGCATTCATGCCAAAAACGAATGATGATTTACAAGAAAAATCTTGGACATAGAGGAATTGTGGCAATTTCCCTTCAGCTCGGCAGCAGTGGATGGATGTCATATCCCCATCAAATGTCCACCTGGGGGCTTGAAGCATGCAAGGAATACCACAACTTCAATAATTTCTATTCAATCATCCCAATGTCAATGGTGGACGCAAAATATAGGTTCATATGAGGAAGTTGTGGTTTTTCTGGAAATTCCCATGATTTAATCATTTTACAGTCAACAGAGCTCTGGGATAAAATACAAGCAGGCAATTTTTTGGCCAACTTCAATCAAATTAAGGAAAATCTATCTATCTCTCCATTTGTGCTGTGTGGGAAATGGAGACGGCAACACAAAAGCTTCAACGGGCTAGAATGACGAGGTTTGAGATCTTACAGCAGCAGTTATCTGCTGTTTGCATTAGCAAGGGCGAGTGGCTCAAATGTGCCTGGAGATTCTTGAAAACAACTCCATCTCAAGAGCTGATTTTGCTGAGGCCATTTTGACGTTGCTTGACAAGGGTAGAGGCAAGGGCGGTAACATTTTTATTGCAGGTCCAGCAAACTGTGGCAAAACGTTTCATTAAATTTTCAAAAAAAAATTTCAGACCCACTAATAATTGTGTACAATGCTTTCCTGTCCCCTGCCACTTATTCTTATGCGTGGCTTGGCGTTGAGTAGAAGGAAGTAATATTTCTCAATGATTTTAGGTGGTCACCTGTCATTCTGCCATGGAGTGATATGCTGCAGTTGTTAGAGGGGGCCATTGTACACTTCGCTGCTCCAAAAACTGTGTATAGCAAGGATATAGAGCTAACCTAGAACACTCCTGTCTTTGCCACATCAAAGGCTCCAATTTCCTTTATTGCAGGCTCCATGTTAGATGAGAGAGAGACAGAGATGATGAACGTTCGTTGGCGAATATTCAAATTCAAACATCAGTTTGATTAACGGGTGCAGAAATGTGTTCCTGCCTGTGGTCATTGTTTTGCCAAATTGATCTTGTGACATTAGGCATCATCAGCAATTGTTAATCACAATAGGCATTATTTGATACAAAAGGCATCCTTGGCAGGGGCAAAGCCTCGCAAGGCTTCCCTGTTGATGCGAAACGTGGCAAGACTGTTAACCAAAGTGTTAACCGTGGCTGTTTTTTTCATCTCATTCGTTATTTAAGAGACTTTTTCGCCCCAAAGCTTCTCAACAAGGTGTCTTCTAATTTAATCTACCCAAAAATCTACGTTTGGCCTGAATTTATTGCCTAAAAATGAAAAGATTTGCGAAAACTCACGGTTAACACTTAAAAATGGAATAGTCTTAGATCATATCAAATTCAACTTTCAAGATAAGTGTAGACCGTGGACTGTTCTCAATTTTCTCCTTTCGCATTTACGAAATCCAAGTCAAAGTTTATACAGCATTTCAAACATACATCGCACACCTCTTGGCAAAATCTGGATTGTTTTTTCTCGTCAACACAACTTTTGCAGGCATTTTAAAAATTGTTAACCGTGACTGTAAACCGTGGGGAAGACATTTTCAGACTACGAGATTGCCCTATGACATTTGAATACCAATAGTTTTCAATTCAATTTCGTGTAAGGTCTAATGATTTTAAGTATTGAAATATATTGAGATGCCAATCTTCTACTGTGATTAACTTGAAGATTCCACACAAAAGCAGAGATAAGCATGAAATCTGAAGGAATCACAAACACTTTCTCTACCTTGCTGATGTCTAAAGGTGGAGGGAACAACACGCTGCAAAAAATTCTACTTGTTTGTCATTTACGTGTGCATTTTTGGCCATGTTATTTTTTACTCAGCTGTTTATAAACATATATGTTTAAAAATTTACATTATTTCAGTATTTTGTTCTGTATCCTCCATTTTTAGTAAACGTTTTTAGACGTTTATGCATAGTTTTGATAGTTCCGTCAATGAGTGAACCACTGCAATTGGCTAGTGTCCGTAACACCCTCTCCTTAGAAGCTGTGAAATCCTCCTTCTCTATCTTTCCTGCAATGCTTCTTTCAACATTTTCCTTTTAACGTTGTGGAAAACATTTTCTATTGGGTTCAGATCTGGTGATCTTGGTAGTATCTTGACAAGTTCAGCTCCAATTTCTTGTAGGGCATCTTTGTCTACTCTACTGTTCTGGCTAGGGTCATTATCCATTACAAAAAGCAGTTTTTCTTTATTTTTCAAAACAGCACACTCTAACAGTGCCTGTTGTAATGTTGTTTCAGCAAATTTTGCAAACCAAGGTCCATTCATTTTGTCATATTCTTCAGCAATTATGACGCCTGATCAGAATGCAATGCCCACCATAACATGACATCTTCGACCTTCTGATAGGCTTATACTTCCTTTCATTGTGTATTTCAGACCCTCGTTTATTTTTCTCCAAACTCTTTCACTCGGCGTTAATGCATCCCTGTAAGGGTTCTCTTTATGTATAAATGAAACAGCATCTAAGTAAATCAGGACGTTGTCTGTCCAAAATTCTCGTTGTACTTTTCAAATGCCTCCCTTGCATAACAAACTCAGTGAAAGAACTCCTTTATGTCTGGGTCGTAAGCATCTGTACCCAGCTTTATTCAATATTCTGACCAAACTTCTGTAGCTAACGTCCGTTATTTGGCTTTCTCTTGCTATATCCACCACTCTAATATTTGCATTTTCATCTCTCATCTTTTTTAAAGTTCTTAAAAACTTTGCTTTTTCCCTCTCTTTCAAAACTGGAGGTCGGCCTGTACCTTTATTCTTTGTCTTCCTCCTCTCGTCCAAGCCATCCTGACAAATGCGAACAACACTTGATAGAGAAATTTTACAAAGATCAGCAATTTTGCGATATGACAGCCCCTTGTCTTTTCGCAGACAGTTTCCATAAGCTCTTCCCTTTGGTTAATCATCGTATGGAAGACCATTTTTCTAATATCGATGTGATTTCTTGTAGACTCTAAACTGGCGCCAATTTGCGTCATAAAAATGCTGTAATCTGTTGTGTTAAGGGAAATCGATCATCACAAAAAAAAGGTGCCATGAAAACAATTCACGCTTTCAACGCATTCATATCTACCAAATTCCTCTACACAACTACTACAATAACACTACATTTTGTAACTGAGTAATGAAATAGAACGGAATGAAACTATTGACAACATCTACTACTGTTAAAAACAATGACTAAAGTCCCCCCTACCCCCTTACTGAAGAAAGAAATTAAAAAATCGCGATTTTTTTAACAGATCTGAAATCAGCACCATCGAAAACCCTATGTTACCCCATGTTTATTTTACTGAACCTTTTGATATTCCAGATAGTTTGCAGACAATCACTGCCAAAACTCTTGGAACACTTGTGATATTTTCAACGTTTTCATGCATCCGTTCCCTTCCCCCCCCCCCCCAAACAATGTTGTCTCACAGCTAAGTTAAGACATACTTTTGTGGCAAACCTTTTTCTACCGATCGCCCTGATAAACTGCATTGTAAGCAACATTGTTTTAGGGGGGGAGGGGGGTTTGTCTATTAGAAACACGGGAAATATACGAAAAAAGCAAAAATTAGCAAAATATGTAGGTGTTCCAAGGAGTTTTGGCAGAGATTGTACTCACGAAACAGGCTTGTAGAGATAAACCATGTAGTCACATTTTCTTCAACTCTATGATATAACACGCTCTATGTGCTAACGTATTGAGCACTGTACTACGGAAGTATCAAAAGAAAAATTTCTACATACATACAGACAAACACACAAACACACACACACCTACATACGTACATACCTACATACATACGTACATACATACACTGCTCCAAATCATTGACGTTCAGGACAAAGAGGAGCAGCCCAAAGCACGATCCCTGAGGCATACCGCAGTGAACAGTTTTTAAGCTAGATCTATGGCCATTTATTTGACAGTCTGTCTGTCTTCGGCTTGTTAAATACGATGTGAACCACCGAAGAAATGTCCCTTCCACTTCGTATTTCTTTAGTTTAGATAGAAGACTACATATAAGAAAACCTCAAAAGTAGAAGATTTGACCAGTTTGAAGAAAAAGGGATTGAAAATATATGTTCGAACTAAACCTAAAAAAGTAAATTATGCCATCGTCACTGCATATAATCCACCTAATGCTAATAACGAAAATTTCAAAAATACAATAATTAGACTAGTTGATAAAATCTCTTCGCATTATGACATTTTATCATCATTGGTTATCGTAAGTTAACCCCAACTAATTCACACCTCAAAGCAATATGATCTTCCTTTGGACTTACTAACCTTATAAAAGAACCAACCTGCTACAAACCAAACTGGAACCCATCATCAATTAACATAATTTTAACAAATCGTAAAAGTTATTTGAAAAATGCATAGGAATTAAATCTAGTTTAAGTGATTTCAACAAATTAATTTTACCTACATTAAAATCGTCTTTGCCCAAACATCACCCTAAAATTCAACATTACCGAGATTTAAGTATATTCACAGAGGAAAGTTTCTGCCAAAATTTGCAGACAGCACCTTTTAATCTTTGTGAACATCTACAAGATGGCAATCAAGCATTCAAAAGCTTTCAATATATTTTAGTAGCATTATCAACACGCCCCTTTTAAATCCAAAAATTCTGGCAAATAACAAGCCTCTTAGTAGAATAGCCGAAAAGAAATGATGTTACGGGCGAAACTGAAAAATATTTATAATAGATAAAGAGCTAAAGACAATTTTGAAGAGTATAAATAACAGGGAAGCCACTGTGCAAATCTTTGTCAACCCGTAGTACAGTGCTCAATACGTTAGCACATAGAGTGTGTTATATCATAGAGTTGAAGAAAATGTGACTACATGGTTTATCTCTACAAGCCTGTTTCGTGAGTACAATTTCTGCGA